TTTACAATACTGATTTGCTAAATCGTATCCATGAGTTTGTAAATCGTACATCTAGCAATGGAATTAAAATATCGTAACAAAAATAAAGTTTTATTTCATATAAAGTTCTCACTCTTAACATTTAAATATAACTTTCAGGGAAACCGATATCATCTACGATAAAAATGTATATCCTGTTGCTCACAAAATCGAAGTAGCTCAATAGTAGGACGTAAAAAGTGACACAACAATGGTTTAATAACATGATGAACACAATCCGTTAGTGTCGGATTTTTGGTTTAAAGACGGTCTTTTTACATTGTTGCTTGCAACGTTTCTTTCAATAATAGTTATTCTCATATTTTCAACTCTATCACGCTCCCAACGTACTTCTCGCAAACGATACAATACTTATGCATTCATATTGCAATATTTTCTTAAATCAAACCCTTTTTACAAAATCCATACACATTCTTTGTGATTGTTTTAAACATTTAGCATTATATAAAATAATCAACAGTTTTTTTAAATACCTTTTCACACATTTACATACATATAATTATTATTTTATTTATTAAAATTTTTTATTTTTAATACCTTTCCTTGGACATTTTTAATTTTTATAAAATTAAAAATAAAATAATAAGCTAGTACACATGATATTTATCTGAATAAATTTGATATAAATAAGTCTGCAATATAATGTCATGAGGCAATAAATAAAATGTGTAATATTTGCTAATTATATTAATACAAAACTTTAGATTTCGACTAAACTAGCGAATAAATAATTTATTCAGCTTTACGACGTTTCGACCATGTGATTGTGGTCTTTATCAAGTAAACAATAAAATATTTTTATTACAAAAATAGTTATTAACGTACATAAAAGAATTCACAAATGATCATATCAATAAAACTGAAAACCATAATTACAAATGAAATAAATTAAAGTTAACACATTATTATACAAATTTAGGCAGTAACATTTCTTGAAATTATATAAGTCAATCAATAGTACAAAGTGAAAACATTAAAAGAAAATTAATGATTAGTTCGACCATACTGGTTTTTATTTATATTCGTCTTTATTAGATGAAGTACATTACGTTTCAACCTTAAATTTAGATCCTTTTCAAGTACTAAAATTATAAAAATCAATAGTTGGCGACGCAAAACTAAAACTAAATACAAGTCAATTCGTGCAAGGAAGACAACAATGTACTTACTTAAAACAATTCCAATAAGCCACATTAAGATATAGAGATATAAATTATGATATGTTAAGCGCTGTGAACTTTAACATGTCGCTAAGACATTCTGTCAACTACTGATACAAGACGCTAAATTATTCTAATGACCTTATCATAAACAGAGTTAAGATTGTCTGTGTCAGTTTGAAAATTGATTGTGTTTGTTTGCTTTTTAATATATAATATTTAGGCAATTTCTCTCTTACGTCTATGTTTTTCAGTGTGTAAAATACAAGGGTCAAGCCACCGGAAATCGTGATTGCATTCTATTCTATGTTTGCTAACAATAAACAGATTCGATTCATGCTTTTTAATGTTGTTCTGGTGTTCCTTTATGCGAGTATTTAGATGTCTTTTTGTTTGTCCTATGTAAGAAACATTGCAATCAATGCATTCCAATCTATAAACGACATTTGTTTTATTTAATTTAGGAGTGGTATTCTTACCTCTTTTGATAAAGCTACTTCGTTTTTTCTGTAAATTATATACTACTCTTAGTCCTTTTTTTCTAAGCGATTTAGAGATGTTGTTGCTGAAATTTTCCAGGTTTCCAAGGATCGTCAGATTCTAATATGTTTTTAAAAAAGAATATATATGTAATAAAATATTTTAGTGTTTTATTAAATAAAGACCACAATCACATGGTCGAAACGTCGTGAAACTGAATAAATTATTTATTCGCTAGTTTGGTAGATTAATTTCTACTAATTATATTTAAATAATAGTGACTGCTATTAATATTTTTGGAATTTATGTTAAATTTCGTTATTATATATTTATTTTAATGTGTTTTTCAAAATGAGAAAGTATTTCGTTTTAATAAAGTAACGTTATAATAATATTGGTTTTTGTTTTTAATGCAACTATTTTCAAAAAGGTTATATCGATATACTAATTATTTTTTTCTAGATTTATTCTGATGACAGAATAATAAATTTATTTGTAGTTCAAGATCAACATTACTGTTTTAATTTGAATGGTTTTCATATGTGGCCTTCTACTTCACAAGATGACAGTTTATTGAAAATTCGCAAATCTATCACAGGTAATATGATAATAAAATAATCCGCCTAAATTTTTATTATTAATACTTTACAATATGTGTAAAGTTAGAAGATAATTAATTATGTATCTGAATTTTAATGAAATATTATTTTTATAAATGTACATACACACACGCGCGCGCACACGCAACGTACATGCTCACGCACACGTATATACGTGTGCGCGTATTTATGCATATTCTGTCATTAATATTTAATGTATTTATGAATATAAACAATATATATATGTATAAATGTATTTTGCAACTAGCCGCTACACAGTTTTCCTTGAAAACTATGTGGTTTTCTTTGCAAAATATTAATTTTTTTCATTATTTTATATACAAAATTATTGAAACATGATTGACGAAAAATTAATATTTCATGAGATATTTGCGTTTATGTAAAGTAATGTGTTAAAGATATAAAATATCCAATATAATATTCTTTTTACAATTATTTTATAATTAAAACAAATATTCTTTAAATAACCTTCCAAGCAACCTTTAAACAAATGTCAATAGAGATCACCTGTTTGTATTTAGAAATTATATAATTTTTTATCTAAAACGCTTTTCCCTAAAATAAATTGTTCAATAAATCTCTGTATATATATTTAAAAATAAATTTGTGTGTGTGTGTGTGTGTGTGCGCGCGCTCGCGAGCGCGTACGCGAGTGTGCGCTTTCGCGTGTGTGTGCGTGCGCGTGTGTGTATGTGTGTGAGCGCATGGGTGTTTTTATGTGTGTGCGCGCATATACATCACTATTCCATTTTAAAATATTCATATAAAAAATTTTGAACAGTTTATTTTAACGAAAAACGTTTTAAATAAAAGTTGTATGATTCCTAAAGACAAAGAAGTGAACGCTACTGACTTTTTCCTAAAGGTTGATTGTCAAGGTAATTTGAAAATCATTCATGTTTTTTCAAATAGATCTAACTTAATTATTATTAATTAATTATTAATTATTATAATAATTTAATTATTTTTAATCGATTTCTCGCAATATTCATTACCAATAAGCTATATAAATAGTGTAATACACACGCGCGCGCGCGCACACACGCACACCCCCACACACACACACACACACACACAAAGTGTCTGGCAATACCCACGCATATGTAGGTAGAGGAATTAATTGAATGGTCCTTTAAAGTTTTGCTATCTTTGTAAGTATTAATGAGTTTACTTATTAAATAGAATGATAACAGTGCGGCAATAAAAAAACATTTCACTCTTGCGCCATTATTACCCGGTATACAAATATATCATTTTTCTTTAAAAAATGACTATGTTTACAACTAATCATTATAGTAAATATTTATTTATATTTATAATATATCTAATTTATAATTTTGATTTAAATCATAGCACCTTTTATATTGCGCATGTTGCAACACGCCCTCACCGAAGAAACATTTTGGAAAAGCATTCGCTCATATATAAATAGCACGTGAGTAATTTAATATAAATATAATATCAGAAAAATAAAATTGTGTAACATAAATAATGTTTAATAATAGAGGTTTTATAAAATGTCTCTTATTTTTTGTCTTAAATAATTTCTAAATTGTTTTTACTCTTTTTATTTTTTTCTTTCTTTTTTCATATGGTCTATAATTCAAATAATTTTTTTTCTTTCATTACATTTTGTGCTACATTTATTTTTTAATCTTATTTATCAGGTTTTTAAATATCTAACACTTTACATCTTTTTTTCATTTCTTCTCTATTTTATTTTCGTCTCTCGTAAAACGATTTTCTTTATATTATTTTTCTTTTCTTTTTGTTTTGTCTTCAATTCTTATTTGTTTTATTTCTTTTTTTAATCATTTTATAACTCTCTCAATAATTTACTCACATATAATCTCTATTAATGCTAATAATGCCTAAAAATTTATAATAAAGTTATTAAAGAATGGTAGCAAAAAGAACTGTTTTTTCGCTCATTTTATATGGTCAAAGTTTGGGATCTCAAATTTCAAACTTTTTTTTATGCCAAATAGTACTATATGATGAGACATTAATTCCACAGAAATTTCAAGATGAGCATAGGCACGGTTCCTTAAATATGTAGAAATGAAGGTGACAATTTCTCATAAAACTGACTGAAAATCATCACTATCCCCCTTGTGTCTTCGGAACCGTACCTATGCTCGTCTTGAAATTTTACTGTGATTAATAGTTTATCTAATAGTATTATTTGGCAATGAAAAAAATTTGAAATCTGAGGTCCCAAAAATGGACGAAATTTGCCATCATTCTTTTATTTAAAATTATGTTATATTCTTTATTATCATAATATAAATATATAATAGAAGTGCAATTTTATGTTCTGATTTTTAATATTTATTAAAGTTTTTTTATAAAATTAGCATCATACAAACAATTTTAACGTACTGGTAATTTTTTTTATATATTTTACATACTGTGTGAATTTGATCAATTACATCGTCAAAGTCTTCAAATTCATGAATTTCCGGATCAAATTGTTGCTGTGGCAGAAGAACCATATATTGCTATAGAAATAATGAATATACGGTATAAAGAACCGTATTGTCCTATCATAAAAATAACACAAAATTATATTATGAGCGAAGCAAATGTATCGATTAAAGATAACGACAAATTAAAAATTAATTGCCTTCCTGTAACTTTTACTACGCAAACGTCTTTGGATTTTAACAATTTTACTCATCATATGGTATGCAAGGAAAAGATTGGAAATTATCATTACCATTTAATGAGGATGGTTGGATAATATTTAATATACAACAAATTGGTAAATATAGACCAAGAGACTTATTATGTCTTATTCCTCGTCTTTATTTTTACACATACGTAATTGTCATTTTTTATTCTCTGCTTTCTCCTTTTTTGACCTTAACCTCCATCTCCTTTTTCCTTTTTTTTCTTTAACAAAAAACAAAACGTACTTTCTACTCTCTTCTGTCTCGCCCTTTCTAATCGTCTCGTTCCACTTTTTACTCCATTTTATCTCTCTTTTTTTCTATCTCTAACTCTCTTCATTTTCGCGATCCTTCCCTTTCTATCCACTTTTTGTACTATCTTTTTCATCCTCGTATGAACTTTTTCCCCAATCCTCTAGCCATCACCTAACCCATCTCTTTACCATCGTCAAGCCCACATTTATCCCAATCCCACATCTCTTCAGCATCCACTCTTTCTCCAAAAATTTCTTTTTGTCCACCACTTTTTACATCTCTACAATAAATACCTCTCCTCCCCGTCCTTCTCTACCTCTTCATTCTCTTCTCCTTTTTCTTCAACTCCGTCTTCCTCTTCTTCTACTTCTCTTTTTCCTCCGCTTCCTTTCTCCTGTTTTTTTCTCTCTCTTTTCTTCTTTGCTCTCTTCTGCACTATACGTATATTTTCTGCTGCCACTACCTCATCTTCCGTTCTTCTCCTAGCCCTCTACTCCCTCTCTTCTCCTTTCCTTCTACTCTTTTCTCCACCAACCATACCTCTCCTCTCGTCACTACATCCTCTCTCGTTCCTCTCGTAACACCTATTTTTCTTTCCGTCAAGCCTCCTTTATTCTCGTTTATCACCATCCCGACATTTTTACCATCAACTCTATAATCCTCCTTAACCATCTATTCTTTTCTCATTTCCATTCTTACATCCACACTTCTCGACCATATTCATACCTCCTCTCTCTTTTCTTTCTTTACAACTTTATACTACTACTTCTTCCTTTATCACTTTCTGTACTACCTCGTAATATGTCCACCTTTTTTTACCATCTCGTAATACGTCCTCCTTCCTCTCTTCTCTCTCTCCTCTTCATTACTTCTTTTTTTCTTCTCCATCTTTCTCACTCTCCTCTTCACTTCTCTTCCTTCTCTTCACTACCGTCTCTTTACCGTCTTTGCCTTCTCCGCAGCTCTTAACCCTTTTTTCTTCTTTCTTTCTTCTGACCACTCCCCTTCACTATGATCACATATTACTTTACTCTCTTTACTTTCCTTTTCTTCTTTTTTTCTTTATCTTTCCCCCAATCACACTTCTATCCTTTCCACCTTTCTTCTTAACGCATCTTCTCACCTTTCTTTTTTTCCACTTTCTTCCTCTCCTTTCTTCATACCACAACTCTCCACCTCGCCCACTAGTCTCTTCACCATAAAACTGAGTTCTCTCCACTCTTTCTTACATATATAATTTATGACTTTTATTTTTTCTCTTTAACACCTATCTCCTCTCGCATCATCATCTGACAACTGCCAAACTGCGTATCCTGCACTATATATATTATATATGTAATATTATATTTAAGATATACTTAGACATTTTCCAAATAATATCATTCAATATTAATGGAATATTGATGGTTTGGTTCAATATTAATGGATTGGTTAAGGTTAGTTTTTGAAGAGGGTGGGGGTGCAAGGAGAGGACCGAAGCCCGGCGAAGCCTCTGCTTCTTCTTGACTCACGCGTTTACTTTATTACACGTCCAAATATATAATACATTTAAATATGTATATGCATTATATGCTTGGACGCGTAATACAGTAAACGCGTTGATCAAGAAGGAATCAGGGACTCCGCCCCTCCTCCTGTACCTCCTCACTCTCAAAAACTAACCCTAATTAAATTATGTTTAAAATTCGTTCTTTGAACATAGGTTGGTTAGTTTATGGAAAAGGGGTGGGTGCAAGGAAAGGGGCGGAGCCCCTGGCTCCGTCTTGACCCACGCGTTTACTATATTACGCTTCCAAACATATAATACATTTAAATGTATGTGTCACAAATATTAGATATTGTAGTAAGTATTTATCTTATTTATTCAAGGCTTTAACAAACAGAAAATCTGGTACAAATTCTTATTCTAATATTTGCACATAACCATGTAGTTGTGTCAAAAGAAGCGTGCGTTTTCCTTTTGTCAGTATAGCCAATCATAAAACATAAAATAAACTAGTTACTCAATTTGACCAACCGAAACATACTTAAATAGTATCACATTCATCCTCCCCTTTAGTCTATTACATAATCTGATAAATAATCAGAAGGATGTTTTAAGCGTACATGCGTCGTATTTCATCTGAACTCTCAGTCGATCGCGGATCCTTCATTTTCCTTTGTTTTTTGTCTTCTACTTTTGTTGATTTATTGTTTGATGTTTGGGCAGTTTAATTTCATCTTCCTCCTCTATTTCATTTGATTTTTCTCCTTGAGGAGCAAGATGTCTAGTTGATATCGTTGTTTCTCGTTCATCCGAAAGTCTAACGTATGCATATTCTGAGTTTGCTTTTATTAATTCTACTTCTTCTACTAATGGATCATGTTTACTAGTGCGGACGTATTTCTTCATTAAGACTGGTCCAGGTTTAGTCAACCACGTTGGTGATGAACTCCCATTAAATGATCGTCTGGGATGATTAAACATTCGTTTATGTGGAGTAACGTTTGTCGCAGTACAGAGAAGGAAGCGGATAGAATGTAATGCAGAGTCTATTACTTTCTCCCACCGCTCAGTTTTCATATTGTTTGACTTTAGAGCCAGCGTGATAGTTTTCCATATTATTCTATTGTATCTTTCAACCGTCTCCTCTTGGGTTATAGAGAGTTGTTTGGCTGGTTGCGACATCCTGGGAAGTTAAAAATGTTTTAAAACTCGTGTGATATAAATAATGTTTTTCTATCTGAGTGTATGTATGCCGGTGTCCCAAAAATGGAAAAAGATGCTTTAGGTGTTTTATTATTGTAGTTGTTAAGACGTCAGTACACGGTACAGCAAAAGGAAATCTTGAAAATTTATCAACAACTGTTAAAATATACTGGTTTCTTGTCTTAGTAGGTAAGGGGCCTTTGAAATCCAGATTTAATCTTTCAAACGGTTAAGTGGCTTTTATTAATTTACCTTCAAACTTGTGAAAACACGGTTTTAATTCAGCACAAATTCGGCATGCGTTAGTCCTGTGCACAAGACACTAAATTTTACTTGGTCACGGCTAAGATTTAAAATTGGAATAATCTCTACAAGAGATTTTGTGTGCACAGGTTTTTAATTCCAACGAAAAAATTTAGTTTCGTTGGGATAACGCACTGTCATCTGCGATTTGGCTCTTATTGCCTGTTTGACACTCTCAATTTATATTTATATTTATATTACAGAGCCTTGTTAAATTCTTAATTAATAAAATTATTAAATTTTATTAAAATTATATTATATTTTTTTTTATTATAATATAAATATAAGATATATAAATATATAAATAGTGCAATTTTATATTTTACTTTTTAGTATTTATTAAAATTTTTTATAATATTAACGTTATACAGATAATTTTAACATATTTGTAATTTTTTTATATATTTTATATATTGTGTGAATTTAGCCAATTATATAGTCAAGGTATTGTGAAATTTTGGAAAGAAATTGTGGCTGCTCATCATCCACCCTTTTTCCAAAATTTCTTATTATCCACCACTTTCTACATCTCTACAATAAATACTTCTCCCCCCCCCCCTCCTTCATCTTTTCATCTTTCTCTTCTCTTTTTTTTCCCAACTCATTCTTCCTCGATCTTCTTTTCCTCCTTCTTTTCCTCTGCTTTCTTTCTCCTGTTTCTCTCTCCTTTCTTTTTCACCGCTGTCTTCTCCACCATCCTCATCTTCTGCCATTACCTTCTCTTTCGTTTCCATCCTAGCTCTCTTTCCTTTTACTCACTTTTCCACGAACCGTATTTCTCCTCTCGCCACTACAGTTTTTCTCGTTTCTCTCGTAACACTTATTTCTCCTCCCGTCAAATCACCTTTATTCTTCTTTCTCCACCATCCCGACCATCAACTCTATACTCCTCCTTAAGCACCTATCCTTTCCTCATTTCCATTCTTACATCCACACTTCTCATCATATTCTGTACCATCTCGTAATACGTCCATCTTCTTTTACCATCTCATAATACATTTTCCTTCCTCTCTTCTCTCTTCTTTCTCTGCACTACTTCTTTCTTTCTCTCCTCCGTTCTCACCTCCTCCTAACTCCTCTTCCCTCTCTCCACTACCGTCTTCATACACCGTTCTCGCCTTCTTTGCACCTCTTAACCTTTTATCTTCTCTTCTCCTTCTGACCACTTCTCTTCACTATCACCACATATTACTTTACTCTCTTCACCTTCCTTTTCTTCTTGTTCTCTTCTTTGTTCTTTATCTTTTCTTCAATCATACTTTCCTCCTTTCCATTTTCCTTTCTTCCTAAGGCACCTCCTCACCTTTCTTCCTTTCCGCTTTATTCCTCTCCCACCTCCATACCACAACTCTCCACCACACCCACCAGTCTCTTCACCATAAAGTTTAGTTCTTTCAGCTACTACTTATATACGTCATTTATGACTTTTTTCTTTCTCTCTACCATCTCAATCTCATCTTTCATCACCTCCTCACAACTGCCCAGATAGTCACAGTAATTATTACGACATTATTTTGACATCAAAATGCATCATTTTGATGGCAAATGATGCATTTTGACATTAAAATAATGTCATAATAATTACTGTGGCTATCTGGGTGTCAAACTACGTCACCTGCATTATATATATTATTAATATTATATTTCTATCAAATAATATCATTATATATATCATATTATTATATATAATATTTCTAAGATATACATAGTTTATACGTGTAATATATACACGTTTTTTAAATAACATCATCAATATTAATAAAATATTTTATTCTACTAATAGTAAAAATTATTAAAAAGATAATATATTTTTTAAAATTAATAATAATAAGTGCAGGTAATACAATTTTTGTAATATGTTACCGAACTAACGTTACATGTTACCGAAATTATATTGGTTAGCATTAAATATTTGTTATTTATGCACAACTAGAATCAATTTTATTTTATGATATATGATGTACAACAATATCTTGCACAGTTTAATTTTTGCTGCAATTTCAAGTATTAGGATGACATTTTTATAATTAATTTTCTATTTGTATTTCATTTTATTTACATGTATCAAATTTTTCATACGTTTTTAATTTATAATTTATATTAAGAAAGTATGAAACAAAAATTGAAATAAGTTTAAAAATAAGTATATTAATAATAAAATTATTCAGAACAATAAGAATTGATAAAATTTATTTACTATTCGACAGGATATTATCGCGTTAACTATGATGAAGAGAATTGGCAAAGAATTACAAATTATCTACACTCCCATAATTACAAGAAAATTCATGTTCTTAATCGTGCCCAAATTATCGATGATGCATTTAATTTAATGATAGCAGGCCATCTCCGTTCCTATATATTTTGGAACATTACATCGTATTTGCATCAAGAAGAAGATTATATAGCATGGTATCCTATGTTTAAAGCTCTGGAATATATATGTAGTTCTTTTCCAGTGTTGAAAGAAGAAACTAGATATTATACGGTAGATATTAATCAATTTTGATGAAAATATTACAATTTAAATATTTACATATACACCCATTGATCACAAATGATTTAAATACTTAGAAAAATATATCCAGCAGCGATAAATTTTACATACTATTACGTCGCAAACGAATGTGCAAACAAATTCAGTTTGAATAATTACTCACCTGAAGAACTATCCGAAAAGTCTATGATTTTCATTACTGCCAATATTATTAGTATATAACTTTGTTATTGAATATATGTATAGCTAGATGCTTAAAATCTTTGTCAATAAATGCAATTATATTGGCTTTATTTAAATATAACATGTTGATAACTCTAAAAAATAGTACATATTAGTAATTAAAAAAAAATAAAACATATACAATTGAAAAAATTTAATTATATATTTCTCAAAAAGATATATTTTATACTTTATTTAAAAATAATATATGATGGATAAATATGTAGCTATAAAACTTTAATATCTATTAAATATTATAAACATTTCGCACAAATTAAACCTTATTTTTACGTACATGTATATTATAAATGTATATTTGCACGTATACATATGTACGTGAATAGATAAACGTTAGCGTCTACCATATAAGTGAATTTGTATGTATGTTTGTTTCATTGAAAGAGAAAATTTTAAGAATTTATTGGAAAATAGATAGCATCTATAAATGAATTTGTATGTATTTTTGTATGTATTTTGTATAAATTTTATAGAAAAAGAAAAATATATAATATTTTAAGAATCTATTGAAAATTAATACAAAAATATAATTATTATTAAATACATTTATAATATAAACAAATACATATATATTTAACGATTTTTAGAAGGAATAAGTAACATATTATCCCATATACTTAGAAAAATCAAATATAAAAAATTAATGAGATAGACAAACTTAGAATATGTTTACGACAAAAAGTTGCAAGATGGACATGTCTTCTTGATGACATTACTTGAAAAATATAACAAATATATATAGCTAAAAAAATTTACATTTCTAAAAAAGATATATTTTATATCTTATTTAAAAATAAAATATGATTGATAAATATATGAAATTTTAATATCTATTAAATATTATAAACATTTCACACAAATTAAATCATATTTTTGCGTACATGTATAATATTGTACATATGTATATATTTGCACGTATATTTGTACGTGAATAGATAGCATCTATAAGTGAATTTGTCTGTATCTTTGTTTAAAAATAAAGAAAATTTTAAGAATGTATTGAAAAATAATAAAAAATATAAGAATTTTTAAATATATATTTATAATATATAAAAGAATAAATATATATTTTACGATTTTTAGTCAAGAGTAAAGCACTCATTACACAAGCTACTTGAAAGAATCAAATATGAAGAAATTGATGATATAGACGAACTTAGAATATGTTTACGACAAGAAGCTACAAGATGGGCATGTCTTCTTGATGACATCACTTGTAAGAAAAATGCCAACATTAAATTAAAACAACACCTCCAAGATCTTACAAAACACAAGTAACTATTGTTACATATTTTTAGCCTTTCTTAATCAAATTCTTCTGTAGGTATCACCTACAATGTTTAAATAATTTGATCAAGATATTTATATGCTAGTTTTTAATAAAAAAATTTAATTTTTTTTATGTTATAGGGTTTTGCCATGGTGGAAGGAATGGACATATTGTAAAGGTTTGATGATAAATACCAACAAAATGACTTGGGAATCAGTGTATGCTATAGGTGTTGCAAAAAATGACACTAAATTTTTAGAATACTTGGCTTGCACTGAAGATGATAATATGATTAAAAACTATTTAAGATATACATTTAATTTTAAAGAAGAAAATCAATATCTTCTTAACAGTTTCTTATCCATTATTACGAAGCATGCAAAGAATTCAACTATTCTGTTGTTCATATTTAATCATTTTTGGGACACAAAACCAAAGTAATGTGACATATTTTTATAAATATTTATTGTGATATTTGTAAATATTTACAAAAATTTATTGTGTTTTATATATACATTTGTTTTTAGACATGTTGATATAACTGCAGCATTAATTATTATTATTAATAACGTATATTCCGTAAATCTTCTAACTAAGGTAAAAATTTTACATGTTTATATATGTATACAAAATTTAATAATAATGCAATGTTAATAATTATTATTTAATGTTTAAATAATTTTGATAATGTTATATTAATGTTAAAAAATAATACATTTTAGGAAATAAACACACACGTTAAATGGTTGAAGATCTATGCAAAGATATTATTTGATGAAATAAAAGAAATGGTAAATTTAATAAATATTATTATAAAAATCGAAAGAAAAATAAATATTGTTCTATCTTGCTTATTAACTTCTGCGTATTAATTTTATATTAGTTTTGTTTATTATATAAACAGTATATTGATTTTATTGTGCAAATTTTTGTTTATATCTATTAGGATTCCATAATGCTGAAGTCTGACAAAGCTGAAAGCAAGATATCAATTCGCAAAAATCAAATCGAAAGACAGAGACAGTATCATAGGTTTTTCTTTGTGTGAAATTAAAAAAATTGCAGCTTTGCATGCATGGATATACTTCATATATATAATTTTTTTATATTGTATATGTGTTATTTATTTTACTGCCTTAACTATTATTGTTTATTTAGATGTATTACTATTCGATGTTTCTGTATTTACTAAACTTTGTGACTGTATGTATAAAAAGATTTCATTTTTTTTTGTGAACTTATATGAAGTAGTTCAACGATATATTATTATTTGTGTTGTCACAAGAAAGTAGCCATGTAATATTACAATAAATTTTACTGTTAGATATAATATAATAATATAAATATATAAATAATATAAGTATATAAATCTGCTTGTTAAATGATAAATGCACCTAAATATATTATCTAAATATTTTGAATTATATATTGCTTTGTTTTTAATTTTTCTATATTAATTAATAAAATTATATGTTTACGCACACACATACACACAAAATACATATATGTATACGTATACATGTGTGTGTTTGTGTGTGTGTGTGTGTGTGTTGTGTGTGTGTGTGTGTGTGTGTGCGCGCGCGTGTGTGCGTGTGTGCGTGTGTGCGTGTGTGCGTGTGTGCGTGTGTGCGTGTGTGCGTGTGTGTGTGTGTGTGTGTGTATAACAAATTATTATATAAATATTACAAAAATTTACAGCTAACATATTTATGTTTATATGTATTATTAAATTCGTTATTATCTATAGTATATATGTACCTGTAATCACGCGCTCGTGATGTATATAATTAATAATCTCTAAAAACTCACCTTTAAAAAAGGTAAAAAAAGGCGACCAGTTAAGGGCACGCCATTAACAAAAATTATCCATTGCAAACCCATGTAGAATCCTATCCTATTGCAAACCCATGTAGAATCCTATAAAAAATTAATCATTGCAAACCCATGTAGAATCCTAGGCAAAATTAACCATTGCAAACTCATGTAGAATTGTATTAAAAATGATCCATTGCAAACTTATGTAGAATCCTACATTGCAAACCCATGTACAATAGAATTGTATGAAAAATTATCGATTATAAATTCATGTACAATCGTAACAAAAGTAATGAAATAAAAAAAAAATTGCGCCAAGTGAAAGTAGAAACTTGTACCAGTGGAAAATTAAAGTTGCAGACATATATAGAGTCGTATAATGAATCAGTAAAAATTTAAATTTGCAAATGTAGAATCGTACCATAAAAAAACTTATCTTTTAAAAAAAAAGATAAACAAGATGCCAAGTCCATGCGCCATGTAAAAAGAAATAAAAAAATTTTAGTTAAAAAAACTGGGCGCGCTGCTAAGTTTCAAAATTACAATGCACCTTAAAGTAACATTAATTAATTTAAACACAAAACATATTTTAACTGTAATGAGTTTAAAAGTAACAATTTAATTTTAATATTGTTAGAATATTATTTAGCAGCGCTCCCAGTTTTTTTAACTAAAATTTTTTTATTTCTTTTTTACATGGCGCATGGACTTGGCATCTTGTTTATCTTTTTTTTTAAAAGATAAGTTTTTTTATGGTACGATTCTACATTTGCAAATTTAAATTTTTACTGATTCATTATACGACTCTATATATGTCTGCAACTTTAATTTTCCACTGGTACAAGTTTCTACTTTCACTTGGCGCAATTTTTTTTTTATTTCATTACTTTTGTTACGATTGTACATGAATTTATAATCGATAATTTTTCATACAATTCTATTGTACATGGGTTTGCAATGTAGGATTCTACATAAGTTTGCAATGGATCATTTTTAATACAATTCTACATGAGTTTGCAATGGTTAATTTTGCCTAGGATTCTACATGGGTTTGCAATGATTAATTTTTTATAGGATTCTACATGGGTTTGCAATAGGATAGGATTCTACATGGGTTTGCAATGGATAATTTTTGTTAATGGCGTGCCCTTAACTGGTCGCCTTTTTTTACCTTTTTTTAAAGGTGAGTTTTTAGAGATTATATCATTCATTTTTGTATATTTTTATGACCGGAATAGAACAATTATTAAACATGTTTATCTAAACTTCTTTGCTTAAAATGATGTGTACAATCATATCCTAGAATCCTGATCATTCCTCCTAAAGCACCCTATTTATATAAATTTACCCATATGTGTGTGTGTGTGTGTGTGTACTAATGTCGAGCATTTTTTATACATTTTCTATTAAATTTAGATAAAAGTTGCAGGATTTCGAAAAAGAAAAAGTTGACACAGACTTTTTCCTAAACGGCGATTTTCAAGGTTATTTAAAGGTCACTTATATTTTCAAAATAGAATTACCTTAATTTTTCTCATATAAATCGATTCCTCGCAATATTTACTATAAAAAGTTGTAAAGGTATAATTTTTACATAATCTTACATAAACTTCGAAATATTACAAATATTTTATTCTATGAAATATTTCAGTTTATGTAAAATTATGTTAACTATCTTTTAAATTATTCACTTTTAGCCATCTTACCCTTACAACCTTTTATAGTGAATATTGCAACAAATTGGTTTATATATATAATATATATATAACATCAGTTATTATTAATTGATGTTTACATTTATTTTTAGACTTACTAGAGCTCTAATGCTCCACATTTTTTGCAAAAACTGTTTATTCTACAGATTTCAAATATGCTTTTAAATGATGATTGAATATTTCCTTTTTTTAATTATTTTTATTATTATTTTTCAATCTCAATCAACTTTTATAACTTTATGCCAGCACGATACAAATACATGTGTCTTTATTTTTTTTATTATTTTCATTATTATTTTTCAATCTCAATCAACTTCTATAACCTTATGCCAGCAGGATACAAATACATGTATGTCTTTATTATTGTATCAACTCTTGTCTTTTCCATGTAACCATGTCTTCATAGTTTGAATTATCCCTTCATCTTCTCAATCTTTCGCAGAGATTTAATTAATTAAATACACTTCACACGAAATAAAGTTTGCTGGAAGATATACAGCAAACGATAACTGTAAAAACATGATTACGTGGAAAGAACAAGAGTTGGTACAGTAAAGGCAAGTAAGTAAGTACATGTAATGTATCGTATTGGCATAACGCTATATCCGCGGAGCAGATAATGTGGCTGTAGAGGTAGTCTGCAGTGCAGCTAATGTGGACGTAGATGTTGATTGAGATAATTGTCTAATATAAAATAGAATTTAAAAATTTAGTTTAAAAAGCTGTTGCATATATAAATAAAGTTTATTTTTTCTAAATTTGGAATATGTTTAATTAATTAATTTTTTAAGTCTATGTTTAATAAATTTTTTAAGTCTGTATTCAATAATTTTATTCATTTGATAAATACATGTATGTCTTTATTTTGATATGTTTAATATAATTAGAAATTCATTATTAATTAGATATGTAAACTATAAATTCATATATAATATTTGAAAATATATGTGAATATTTAAATTTTTATCTTCTCCTTCCTCTCCTTCAATCTCTTTAATATCAATATGTGTATGTGTGTACACGCGCGCACATTTGTACGTATTTATTTAATTATTGGATAGTTGAGAGTACTTAATTGATAAAAAATTATGACAATAATAATCCTTGTTTTTTTTTCTTATTATTTACTCAGATTTTTTTGTCTATCTTATAAGATAAACACTTTAGAGATTGAATATTTCAAGTAAACTAATTGTAAGTAAATTTCACATTAATGCATATAGATGTTTAATCATGAATGTACTAAATAAGTACACAAGACGAACAGTGAGTGAGTGAGTGAGAATGAGAGAGTGTGTGTGTGTGTGCGTGTGTGTGTGAGAAAGAGAGAGAGAGAGAGAGAGAGAGAGAGAGAGAGAGAGAGAGTTAGCCAACATAACCCCGCACGCTGCCGATCATGAATGTACTAAATAAGTACACAAGACGAACAGTGAGTGAGTGAGTGAGAATGAGAGAGTGTGTGTGTGTGTGCGTGTGTGTGTGAGAAAGAGAGAGAGAGAGAGAGAGAGAGAGAGAGAGAGAGAGAGAGTTAGCCAACATAACCCCGCACGCTGCCGATATGGCGGAGCGCCACTATCGCCATCTGTTGTAAAACGTGCGAGATGGACAAAATTACCACTACATGCATCTTGCATGTGTTGTGTACGTGTGATATATGTGTGCGCATGTGTTGTATACGTGTGAATACGTGTAGCACGATACTACTATGTATGCGTGGTCGATGATGATAATGATGATGATAATGATGATAATGATGATGATAATGATGACGGGGACGTTTCTTAATAGAAATTTTTCATATTTCGACTTTGCATTTATATATCTCTGCTTACAAATCACGTAGAGCAGAAATAAAGACACTTTTATTATATAATTCGAACTCAATCTATCGATTAAGTCTAGTATAAACTTGATTGCTTCAGCCATTATTGAGGATTCGAAATATTATAAAGACTCAAATGTCCGACTCGCGTTAAGATACACGGTGTCTCCGCTACGCCCTTAACTGGTCGCGAGACACTACCGTGTCTCTTGATGTAGGAGAGATGAAGCAATCGAAATAAAGACTCTTTTGTGTACTTGAAGTAATTATTTAATTTAATGTTACTGGTATATCCTTCCGTTCGCACCTTCGAATTCGTCTCGAACCTTCTAGATCATCTCTTTGTTTTCTCGAGCTCGCCAGGCTAATCGTATAGTTTATTTTCAAGTTTGCAAAATACACATGTCGACTTACAATGTATTGTTTATTTGTCGCTTATACTGACAGTATTTGTCTTAAGCAAATAGTCGGTTAAGAAAACACTTTTATAATCACTTTGATCTTACCTATATTTGTGCGCTATAAAAATTTACGAAATAAATTTATTTCTACAATAAATAATAATATTATATATTATATTATGTATATTATATACATATACAGATCACATTATATAATAATTATATAATTAATACAATATAATATTAATAAATAAATAAATACATATATATAAAATATGTTTGTATAAAAATTAGTGATGTTTGCGTTATATGTAAACTAATTATATGTGTTATATGTTC